TCGTCCAGGGAACTACTGCCACCGTACCTACTTCTGCTACTAAGCAGTAATGTGAGCATTACTACGTTCCGGTTTGGAAGGGTAAAGGTGCTGGTGAAATTACAGGCGCATAGGACTTGTCAACTTGTGTCTCAGGGTGACGGGCACAGTTTGCGATTTAATGCTCTGAGTGGCACTGCAACTGTTATGAATAGGCGTGTCGCTTACCAGCAGGCGCACGACTTGTTCGTCCCGTCACTTGGTATTATATAAAAAAGGTAAATAAAATATGTTTTGTGTTTCTTATGTTCTGTTTACGTTTAAGATGTGTTTTTGGAGGAAGACTTAATATGATTGGTTTGTTACTTTGTATTTCAAATTGTTTATTAACCGTTTATATCCTGGTTTGCCGTCCATAAAAGTAGATGAGAGATGAAGGGCCTTAACTCCATATTATTATTTTAGAATTTACATATTTTTACAAACAATGCTAAACATCACGCAATGGTAAAAACCAGTCCCATCGTCGTGTGTTTTTTATTTAACATATTTTATCTGAACTTAAGATTGATTTTAAATGTCTAATTAAGGCCTGCCTTTAAGACGCTCTGTAGTAAAAATTACTGTATTGATATCTCATCTACAGATATCAGTTTTTTAGTTTTTTTTATTCTATCAAGTGACGGGACGAACAAGTCGTGCGCCTGGCAGTAAATGACACGCATGTCCATAATAGTTGCAGTGCCACTCGTAGCTGTCACTTTGAGACATAAGTTAACAAGTACCATGTACCTGTAATTTCATCAACACCCTTACCCTTCAAAACCGGAACGCAGTAACGCTCACATTACGTTGGCAGTAGGTACTTGCCTGGACGGATTGTTTAACAAGCAGCTTTACTGATAATGAATATGTGATTATTTCGTTGAGTTTTTCGAAGTAGGAATTAGATCAACGACACCTTTCTCTTTAAAAAGTTAAAAAGTAATATGCTGTTTTAATCCTACTGTGGTAACGTGTTGCGTGCTTTCCGCCAATTCGGGCAAAACGTTTCTTTTGTAAATTTAATGAAGTTGGCGAGTTTCGGCGACGCGATCCGATTCCGGCGCGATAAGTCGTTACGCATGGCTTCCGAGTAACCGCTGTAATTGAAAGATTAACTACCTAGGTAATGCAAAATGATCCGGTTCCGCGATTGGGCATTATAGAGATCATAGACTAATTCTTTTGTAAACGGGAAGTAACTTTCATAATTAATAACTCCTTTATTTGGGGAAATATACTTTAAAAGGTGACAGTTGATTATAACTTCTTTATTATTTATTTTTTAATGGGATAATATTATTTGATCCTCAAAGATATAATTGATCTATTGTAAATGTGCACTTTTTAAATAAACGATATTTTTTTAAGTTTCATATACCTGTATATTAATTGTTCCGTCTATATTAGTTGATCTACGGATAAATTATAAATGAACTGCTTTCAAGGCCACACTATCATTATGTTTAAGCATACCTATTCAAAAATAATGTTTGATACTCTTTTTTTATTATTGGTCTTTATGTGGTCTGTGGTCTTTTCTTTTAACGATGGATGACATTTATGACCAGTATAAATTTTTATATTGTATAATAAACCTTGGTTGCTTGGTTGCGCCCTCCATTCAGTAGGTTAGGTTACAAAAAGCAGAAGCCAATTTGTTTGCGTTTCCGAACAGGTTTTCAGGGCAAATTATATAATAATTAAAATAATATTAAAAAATAGGTATCAAAATTTTATTTTTAATGCTCATTTGTCTTAATTTTGAGGCTCAACATAAAACTATCAAAGTTAATTTATACAAATCGAATTTGTTTTTAGCTTCGAACAGATTAAAACGTTCATTGATTTAATTTATTTTATGTCTCAGAGAAAAAGGATGAATTATGAAAAAATATGACCTAGATTTTTTGCCTGCTGCTGCTGTTTACTGCACTCACTCACTACGCATAATATAAGTCGGTAAGGTCTGCCATTTCCATTATCAGATCAACTGTAGGTCACCAAAACATTTTACTTTCATTGGAATTACATCTGTA